ATAAATTTAAGAAAAGATGTGCAAAACTTGTCTGCTGAAAGCTACAAAACATTGTTGAAAGAAATTAAAGAAGGACCTAAATGAATGGAAAGATGTCCTGTGTTCATGGATTGGGAAACTTATTATTGTTAAGATGGCAATACTCCCCAGTTGATCTACAGATTCAATTCCATTTCTATCAAAATTCCACCTGCCTATTTTGCAGAAATGTAAAAGCTAATCCTAAAATTCACATGGAAATGCAAGGGACCACCAAATACTCAAAACAGTTTTAAAAAAGAACATAGCTGGAGGACGCTCACGTCTCGATTTTAAAACTTACTGCAAAGCTACAGTAATCAAGATATTGTGCCTCTGTCATAAGGATAATATATAGATCAATGGTACAGAATTGAGAGTCCAGAAATAAACCCTTATATTTGTAGTGAATAGGTCTTCAGCAAGATTGTCAAGACCATTCAATGGAGGACAGAATAGTATTTTCAGCAAACAGTGCTGGGACAGCTGGATATCTACATGGCAAAGGAATGAAGTTGGACTCCTAACTCACACCATGTATGAAAATCAAAATTCAAAATGTACCAAAGACCTAAATGTAACAATTAAAACTATTAAACTCTTAGAAAAAAGACATAGGAATAAATTTTTTTTAATGTCCTTGTATTAGCCAGTGATTTCTTGGATGTGATACCAAAAGCACAAGCAACAAAGGGAAAATAAATAGGACTTCATCAAATTTTAAAACTTTTTTGTATCAAAGGATACTGTCAAGAAAGTGAAAAGACAACTCAGAGAATGAGAGGAAAATATTTGTAAATCATGTATCTGATAATGGACTGATATCAAACATACATAAAGAATGCTTGTAACTCAACAACAGAAAGACAAATAACCCAATTAAAACATAGGAAAAGTATTTTAACAGATAGACATTTCTCTAAAGAAGATATACAAACAGCCAATAAGCACATGAAAAGATGCTCAACATTATTAGTCATTAAGCAAATGAATATCAAAACCACATTTAGATATTACTTCACACATACTAGGAGGACGGCTGTATTTTATTTATTTTTTAAGGAAAATAACAAGTGTTGGTGAGAATGTGGAGACAGTGGAACTGCTGGTGAGACCTTAAAATGGTACAGCCACTTTAGAAAACACTTCAGCATTTTCTTAAAATGTTAAACATGAATTTACCATATTACCCAGTAAGTCCACTCCCAGGTGTATATACCTAAATAGAATTGAAAACTTGTGTCCACACAAAAATGTGTACGTGAATGTTCACAGCAGCATTTTCATAATGAAGTCGAAACAATCCAAATGTCCATCAGCTGATGAGTGGATTAACAAAATGTGGTATATTGGTAAAATGGAATATTATTCTGCCATAAAAAGGACTGAAGTACTGATACATGACACACCAGTGATAAGCTTTGAAAACATTATGCTAAGTGAAAGAAGCCAGACACAGTAGGCCACAAAATTGGATGATTTCACTTATATGAAATAACTAGGATGGGCAGATCCATAGATACAGAAAGTAGATTAGTCATGACCAGGGACAGGATACATGGGGAGGGAGTGAAATAAGTAACTGCTTAAAGAGGTACAGGGTTTCTCTTTGGGGTGACAGAAGTGTTTTGGAATTAAATGGTGGGATGGTTGTGAATATACTAAAAACAACTGAATTGTACACTTCAAATTGGTAAATTTTTTGTATGTGAATAGTATCAATTTTAAGTTTTTTTTTTTAACAAAAGAAGGTGGAGATGAACAAAAGAAGGAAAGATAGGCTGAAACTTAGAACTGTGGTAGCAGATTTAAAATCTACTTTGTAGACCCAATAAAGGGTAAAGTTACCATGAAGGAAATTGAATTGATGATATGGAGGACAAATGCGAAAAAATCTCCAAGAATACAGAGGGAAAGGAAAACCAAAATGAAAATGAGAAACATGAAACACAGCTAACGAAACCAAACCAAGAATTATAGCTGTAGCTGAGGAAGAAAGCAGAACAGTATGAACAAAAGTAATATTTAAAGTAATATTTAATATTTAAACTCAATTTCCCTAAGCAAAAATTTCCCTTTTCCCCTTCCTCCCACCCCTGGTAACCACTAATAATTTTTGGTTTCTATATATTTGCTTATTTCATATAAGTGAGATCATATAACATTTGTCCTTTTGCTACTGACTTATTTTGCTCAACATGAAGTTTTCAAGGTTCATCCATGTTGTGGCATTTATCAGGACTTCCCTCTTATGGCTGACCAATTACTTCTAAGAAAATAAAATCAGTAAAATAACATAAAATAAGAAAAAGAAACATAGGAAACTGCAAGATTGCATAAGCAATTAAGTCAGATGACTAGAATACAGTAAAATGTATTTAGCTATGATAAATAATTTTAGCATACATCGGCATTTTTATACTACCTTTAACTTAAGTTCGATTTCATATATTTAACGAAAGAGAGAGGCAATTTTAAAAGTGTGTTTTGTGCACTCTACCACTATGAACATACGACCCTGAGGGGGTATGAAATGGGAGGTGGGGAACCTCCCTCCTAACGGTTCATTGTAGTTCTCACTGGCCTTTTATCGTATAAGTGTCTTATATTGCTTCCCTGTGCATAATTCTAGAGTTTAAAGAAGTGTCTTTTTGATACAACGTGGCCTGTAAATACAAGCCAGGTAGTTAGATGGTACCAGGTGCTTAGATGCAGGCACAGTGAAATGTTGCAAGCCTGGAGGAAAAAGTGGACTCTGCCGGTTTATTGAGCAGACATGTCAGTTTCAACATGGGGCCTTCCTAAGGAACCTTTAAGTGTGATTTTTGACTCTGCATGTTTTTTCCATCTTACGTGTAGACATTAGCCCCTAACTGCCATTTAAAATGTATCTCTAGTGAAAGAAAGGATATAAAACTGAGTAATGGCAATAGAGATGGAGAGAAGTGGACACAATTAACTTACATTTAGGAAATAGTTCCTTCTGTACGTGGTGATAAATACAATGTAGAGAATAAGGGAGAAAGAGGTAAAAAGAATGATTTCTAGTTTTTTAGAGCGAGCAAGTAGGTAAATAGAGGTGTCATTTACTGAAATGGAGAGGTCTGAGGAAGAAGCAAATTTGGGAGTGATGATCAAAATGTCTGTTTTGGACATGTTAAAATGGAAATTCCTGTTGCACATCCAAGTAGAGATCTACAATTGAATGTAAGCAGAGTCAGTTTACAAATGTTGGGGTTGTACACAAGGACACCACATATAAGGTGGTGCTGTTTACATCATAAACTATAAACAGGTAGGCCTGGGGGTTCTAGGTGTTCTGGAGCAGTAATGCAAATTCTCATTCTGCCCCAAACATATATCTTCACTTGCACATACTACACTTGTACACAAACACAGGAAAATAAGTACACAGACGCTCATTAACATACACACATGTATGGGGTTGCAGTCTCTTTCAACTGCACTCTCAATTCCACTGATGTTAATTTTCTTGCTCACCCACCGAATGCTCTCAGAGACCTAGTTATTGTTCTCCAGCTGACTCAACCTGACAGAGTCACCTCTCTTGGAGGACAAGGGATAGTGGTGCAGAGTGTGCAAGCTGCTGCTGTTGTGTACTCTCTGGTGTCTAGGAGTGTCTGAAGGGAGAAGGGCCACCAGGTACCTTTGTTTGTACTGTACCATAATATACAGTAATTATAATTTTTTTTATTTGAAGAAGTGACATCTTTTTCTAATTTCCACAAAAGTGCTGTAAAGGTTAGCTGTGTCCCTGAATGCTGGATCCTGAAGCTCAGAAGAAAGGGCTAAGGTTATTAACATATAGTGTTCCAAACCTTGGTAATCAATGAGCTAACCTAGGGAGTGAAGAGAACCCAGTTCTGACTCCTTGAGGACTTCCAACATTGCGAGATTTGACAGAACAAAGGATACTAAGGATTTGCCAGAGAGGTATGAGGGAGAAGCTGACAAGAGCCCAATAGCAATCTGTAGATTTGGCCTAGAAGGCCTTCTAGGGTCCTTGAACTCTGTGCTGAAAAACCCATCATGGCTTATTTGTATTTGCACTGTAGTGATGAGACTGGTATTCAGCAAGCTCTTACTACCATACACATACTAGGAGCCCAGGAAATACATGAAGTACAACGTTCCAGATTAGAAAAAACATTTTGTAGAAGATAATTCTAAAGTTACTACAGACACTTATACACTCAGAGATGTTCTTTTGCCTCTTAGACATGGCGTGGAAAACAGATAACCTTCTCTTTTCAGTGGATATAGAAATATTGAAATATATTTTAAAAGAAAATCATATACTTTTAAATCCTTTTTTTATCATGTAATTTTTCTTTCAACATACTGTCTTTTGTATTGTTGGCAGATTAATCTTTCAGAAACATAGCTGATTATAATATCCCTTTATTTACAAATCTTTAATGATATTGCACTCTTGACTTGTAATTCCATGGCCTGCTGGATTTTATCCCAAAATATTATTTTTTTTAATACCCCCCACCACTCTCCTTCATGTATTCTGTAACTTAGCCTGACCACAAAAGTATCTACTCCTCCTCTAATTTTTATTTTCCTGCCTATCTTTGCTCATGCTGTAACCTTTGCCTAAAATGCCTTTCTTCCTTCCTCTCCCTACATCAAAAAGCCTACTTATTTCCAAGGTACAGTCTGTTTTCTTCTTCCTCTAAAAATCTTCCAGAGCTGGAAATAGCCTCCGTTCTGAACTGATGTTCCACTGTATACACCTTCTCTTATGTCATTTGCTTCCTTACCTTGTATCATTGCAATTTATTATGCATGTTTTATAGCTTCAGTTTTACAGCCATCTTTCTCTGATCACCCTACAAAACTCCCATGGTGTCTTTTTTATAGAAGTGGTTCAAGAGGCAATTTTTTTTAAGAAGTCTTTCTTCAACTCCTTGTCTATATATGTGTTAATTTGTATTTTTCTGTTTTCTCTGTAGGGTCCGATGATGCCATTGCTCCAGACTTCCCAGCTCAGGTGCTAGGCACAAGGAATGATGACCTCTCAGACACTGTTAACATTAAGCATAAAGAGGGGATCTACAGTAAGAGGGCAGTGACTGAGCCATCCTGGTCAGTGGGGAAAAAACCCTTTCAGAAAGACACTGCAGGTAACTGGGTTGACTTTGTCTATTTTGTGGGATTTTTTTTTTTTTTCCTGTTCACCCTGAATTAGAATATGGTCTAGTCTTTATGCTTTTTCTGCTTTGTTATGTAAACTTGTCTCATATATACAAGAATGTAAAAGTCTTTTGAAATGCTTCAGAGATACTTGAAAACCATAAACTTTATTTTCACCATGAGAAATAAAACATGATAATAAGACTTTTGAAATGAAATAACTAATTGAGTATGTTTCAGAGACTAAAATCCATATAAAATCTTGATTAAATTGCCTCATGAATTTATCTCTGTCACATGTGGCAAACTAACATCTCAGACTGGTTTCTGCAGGGAGATAAGTGGCTCACTTGGATTATTTATAACTTTTATTTTTAACATTTAAAAATAATGAACAATCAGAATTATCTGATTGCCCTCAGCTCACATTCCTCCAGGACAGTAATTAGCTTTAGCTGAGACTTGGCTGTCCATGCAGACAGGATGTGCATTCTCCTGTTTGTCCCCATCCCACAACTCTCAGACCTGACTGGAAGAGATCCATATTCACGCCCATTCCAAAGAAAGGCAATCAAACAGAATGCAGAAATTATCTAACAATAACATCAGTGTCACATTCTAGCAAAATTCTACTGAAGATAATGCAAAAACAACTGCGGCCGTACATCAACAGGGAACTACCAGAATTTCAAGCCAGATTCAGAACAGGATGTGGAACAAGGGATATCATTGCTGATGTCAGATGGATATTGGATGAAAGGAGAGAATACCAGAAAAGATGTTTACCTGTGTTTTATCAACTACATGAAGGCATTCAACTGTGTGGATCATAACAAATTATGGATACCATTACGAAGAATGGGAATTCTAGAACACATAATTGTGCTCACGTGGAACTTTTACATCGATCAAGAGGCAGTCATTTGAACAGAACAAGGGGATACTGTTTGGTTTATAATTGGAAGAGGCGTGCATAAGGGGTGTATCCTTTCACCGTTCTTATTAAATCTGTATGCTGAACAAATAATTCAAGAAGTTGGACTATATGAAGAAGAATGCACCATCAGAATTGGAGGAAAACTCAGTAACTACTTGCGATATGAAGATGACACAACCTTACTTGCCAAAATACCTTCTTGGAGGAGGGAGCAGTTGGCAAACAGACATAGAAGGTGCACAGTATTTGTGTAAAAATATGGTGTACATCTGTCTGTCTGTATCTACCTATCTATGTTACTTTGATTAAATTACAATTTATATTGTCCTTCCCTCAAAAGCAGTGAATAAAGAGATGGAAAAAGATACATTTGGCAAATACCAACCAAAGAAAAGCTAGTGAGCAGTATTAACATCAGACAAAATAAAAATTGAGGCTGGAAAACATTAATATAGACAATACAGTTCAGAAGGATCAATGCACCAGGAAGGTAGAATTAAGAGATTATATGCATACCCTCAAATTTATCTGCAGGAAAAATAACAGGATTATGTAAGTAAATTCCACAGCACACATCTATCAGAAACAGATTAGGAAATAAAAATTAATAAAATTAGACAGGATTTGAACAACAGAGTTAACAACTTTGACGTATAATAGAGATCTTTGCATAATTTTAAAGAACACATGTAACAGAAAAATTGATGAAATTGTTGCTCAAAGACAAAGTCTTAACGTGTTTCAAAGAATTGATGCTCATACAGACCAGCTTCCCTGGCCACAGTGTAGCCGAATTCAAACTCAATAAAAATACAGAGTGACAAAACAAAAACCCATCTGTGATGAGTTGAATAGTGTCCCCCAAAATCCATGTTCATCTGGAACCTCAGAATGTGACCTTATTTTGAAATAGAGTTTTTGCACATGTAACTAGTTATGGGTCTTGAGATGAAATCATCCTGGATTTAGGACATCCTGAATCCAATGATGGCTATCCTTATATGAGAAGAAGAGAGTACATACAGAGACACACAGAGAAGAAGCCCATGAAAAGACCGAGGCAGAGATGAGAATGATGCTACAACAAGCAAAGGAATGCCAGGCTCCATCGGAAGCAGGAAGAGCTTTCAAAGGGAACATGGCCCTGCCAACACCTTGATTTTGAGCTTGTAGCTTCCAGAACTCTTGAGAGAATACATTTCTCTTGTTTTAAGCCACCAAATTTGTGGTAATGTGTTGCGATAGTCTTACGAAATTAATACCACACACAAACACACCAGTTGCCATCAAGTCAACTCAGGGCTACCCCATGTGTGTCAGAGTAGAACTGTGCTCCATAGAATTTTCAATGGATGATTTTTTTGGAAATAGATCACCTGGTCTTTCTTCTGAGGCACCTCTGGGTGGACTTGAACCTTCAACTTTTCAGTTAGCAGCCAAGCACGTAAACCGTTTACACCACGCAGGGATTCATCCATGTATTTGAAAATTAAAAAATGTATTTCTAAGTAAGAAGTTAAAGAGGAAATCATAATGGAAATTATATTTAGAACTGAATAATAATGAAAACCTGATATCAAAACTTACAGAAGATAGCTGAACTCCTAAAAATAAATGTGAAAAAGGTAGCCAACCCAATATAAAAATGGGCAAAAAATTTGGATAGGTACTTTACAGAAGAGAAAAGACAATAGCAAATAAATATATGCATAATATTCGACTTCATTAATCAACAGGGAAATGCAAAGTAAAATCGCAGTAAAATTCACCTATACGCGCACCTGCTAGAATGGCTGAAATGAAAAAGACAGTACCAGGTGTTGGTGACAGTGTAGAGCAAGTGAAACTCAGTCACTGCTGGTAGAGTGTACATTGGTAAGATGGCTTTAGAAAGCATTTTGGCATTATCTACTAAAGTTGCACAAAAGCATAACCTTTGACGTAGCAGTTCTGCTTATAGCTTAACCTTTGACCCAGGAGTTCTGCTTGTAGCTATATACTCAACAGAAATGAATTCACACAAGCACCAAGAGACACATACGCAAATATTCTTCACAGCAATATTTGTGATAGCTCCAAACTGGAAACTGCCCAGATGCCCAGTAGTTATCCAGTAGAATGGATAAATTGTGGCATATTTACACTATTGAGTACTAATCAGCAAATGAGAATGAGTGAAGGACAACTATATGCAACAACACTGGATGAATCTTGCAAACCTAACGTGAAAGAAGGAAGTAAGACACGAAAGAGTATATATTATATGATTCCATTTATATAAAGTTCAGAAATACTCAGTGCCAACCTGTTGTATTAAGTATCAGGTGTTACCCTCAGCCTGAGGGTATTGGAAGGAGGAGTTAGGGAAACGTTTAGGATTCTAGCTAGGTTTTCTTTCTTGACCTGGGTAAAGTTACACACATTTGCTTTTTGATAATTCTCTGAGCTCTGTATTTTTATTTTTCTGGACATATTTTCTACTACACAATTAAAAATATTTTCTTCAATCATACCTTTTATATAACAACAAAAAATAAGGTACTTAGAAATGAACCTAACAAAGGATATGCAAAACTATTGTAAAGAAAATTATAAAAATTCATTGGAATATATTAAGGAAGACGTAAATAACTCGAGTTGGAAAATACTAGTGATATAATACTAGTGATAACCAAATTAATCTCTTAAGTTCAGTGTGCTGCTCCCCACAATTCCATTAGCATTTTTAGTGGAACTTGACATGCTGTTCTAAAATTTTTACGGAAAATCAAAAAATAGATTTAAAGATTAAGGTAAGGAAACCTTCCATACCAGATATCAAGACGTACTGTATTAAAAAAAAAAAAACATTGCTGTCGAGTCAATTCTGACTCATAGCCACCCTGTAGGACAGAGTAGAACTGCCCCAATAGAGTTTCCAAGGAGTAGCTGGTGGATTTGAACTGCTGACCTTTTGGTTAGTAGCCATAACTTTAACCACTGCTTATTTATTAGGAATAAACAGGAAAAAAAAAATGGTTTAGAATAGTGACCCAGAAATACACCTGTGTATGTGGAAACAATATGTAACAGAGTTGGTATAACAATTCATGGAGAAAGGATGAACTGTTCAGCAGTGTTTGAATCACTGATTGTATATGTAGGAAAAAGATAAAGTCAGATCAGTCTCTACCACACACTAAACAAAAATGTACTCCAGGTATATTAAACACTAAATGTGAAAAGAAAAAATTTACACTTTTAAAATTTAAATGACTATCCTTATGACCATAAGATAGTGAAAGATTTCCTAAACAAGATACATAAAGCACAAACCATAAAGGGAAACCATAAATAAATAAATATGACATTACTAAATGGAAGATTTTTTTGTATATCAAAAGACATCATAAACAAAAGTCACAGTCTGCGATCATATTTGTGACCAACACAACATACAAAGAAATTTTATAGTAATGTTCATTGCAACACTTTTTAATATAAAAAAAAATTGGAAATAACCTAAAGTTGATCAGCAGGTGAATTGGTATGTTCCTACAATAGAATGCTGTATGACATTGAAAATGAGTTAATCAGAGCTACATATATTAATGTGAGTAAATCTCAAAATCATAATGTTGAGTGAAAAAGGCCTTGTTGCTCAAAGGTACATAGATTATCATACCCTTTATATGAAAGTTAAAGATGTGCAAAATAGTACGTTGTTGATAAGTTTATACTATATAGTAAAAAATTTTAAAACATCCTTGGGATTGATAAATTCTAAATTAGGAATAATGGTTACTGCTGAGAAGAGAAAGAATGGTATCACTGAGGCTTGCATGGGAAATGATTGTAATGTTTTGTTTCTTAAGCTCTGTGGTAGATAACGTTGGTGTTCATTAAGTTATTTATACTTTTTAGTATGCCTGAAATACCTTATTAACATTTAAAAGATTTTTTTAAATGACCTAAACATTTCAGAAAACAATTAGACCAAAGAGATTAGGAGGATTGAAGTAATAAAAATTAGAAAAATTAATGAATTTAAAAGGAAAAAAGGTAGCATGATAAATAAAACCAAAGCTTGTTCTTTGATGTTTTTAGTACTCTTTATTGCCTTTCTGATTTCTTTGTTGAAAATATTTGTGCCTAGAAATAGGAATAGAAATAGGATTCTCTTGTCAACCTATTGCAAAAACGTAACCATTATTAACTGTTTGACTTTTATCCTAGTTGTTGTGTTGGTGGTTTTTAATGTATTAATTACACGTTATTTTGCACTTGAGTTTTCCCATAGGATAAAAAAGAGCTGATTTTAAAAGACCAATAAAATAAATGAAAGAAGGAAAAGAGAAATAGAAAGTATTAGGATAGTTTGAAGGGTTATAACTACAGGAGATTTTTAAAAATTATGCAAGAATGATGTATATAAAGTCTCGATGATATAGATGCTTTTCTGAGATTATAGGAAATATCAAAATTGATTCTAAAGGTGATAAAAATATTTAAAAAGAATTAAAAAAGATTATTCAGATCTACTTTGAAAAAAGATACCTGATTTGAACTTTTTTAAAAAAGTGTTGCATCATACCATCAAAGAACAGATTTTACTTTAAATGCTATTTAAACTGTTATTGTACACAAAAAAATATGGAAAGCTTTCCAATTCATGTTATAAGCCATAACTGTCACAGCTTTTACATAGTAGGGCCTAAGAGGTGCTTTTTTCCTAATATGTTATTTTTGTTTTTGCTTTTTCACTTGTCTGTTGTGTTTATTATCTTTTCCATCTCTGTGCGATCAAACGATATCCCAGTTCAAGTGTCCATCACTGGGGATGAGGACCTCTCAGACAAAAAACTGACTAAACCTACCTCGCCTGAAGAGAAGGACAGTGCAGGTAGCTAAACTGGATTGAATGCATGTTATTTTCTTCTCGTTCTTTCAAATGAGATTATTCCTTTAGGGTATAAACAAATATATTCTCTGTTCTCTTTTTGCTTTCTTTAACTCTCTCTATCTTGCTTATATGTGAAATAGTTAAGGTATTTTTACCTGCATTTTTTGGTATACATTGACAGGTAAAATTGGCATTTTAAAAACTCTTTTGAGATATTTTTGGAGGTCTTTGTGAATACAGTACACAAATTAATCTCATTGCCAAAAATTCATGTATAGACTTTTTATCTCTGCTGATAAAAAATTTCAGTGCTATGAGGTGTTGAGTCTCCCATACCATTGTTGTACATAAACCTTTGTTCTTTGGGTAAATTCAGCTTGTTTACTTCCTAACTACCTATCTAATTATTTTAATTCAGTGGCACTATGCTGATTAAAAATATATGACCTCATGTATATAAAAAACCAAGAATAAGCAGATGAGTAGAAACCAAAGTTTCTTAGTGGTTACCAGGGGCAGAAGGGAGACAGAAAGGAGGAGGGGGTTATTACTTACAAAGTACTGAGTACCAGTTTACAGTGATGGAAAAATCACATTGATTAAGGGTAGGGTTGCACAGCCGATTAATGTAATTGCTGTCTCTAGGTTGTACACCTGTAAAAAGTAGAATTGGCAAAAGTTGAACAATAGATATATTTATAACAACAACCAAAAAAAGCTACTGAGGCTGTTTATGTACAACCAAACACCTCATGGGATTTGGTTCCTTGGTTTGGAGGTTTAAGGTCATGCTTTCATGGGACATCCCAGTTAATTAGCCTAATAACGGGTTTAGTGCTTGTATTCTACTTCCTAGTTTGTTGCGTAGTGTCTGGGGTCTTAAAAGCTTGCAAGAGGCCATCCAAGACACAACAGTTGGTCTCTGGAGCAGCAGAGGAAGAAGGAGAGTTAGGAATAGGAGGATATGGAATGTGTGGCTAATTGCCTCCATGAACAACTGCCTCCTTTGCCATGAGATCAGAAGAGCTGGATGGTGCCCAGCTACCATTACTGAACATTTTGATCAAAGATTCAGTAGAAGAATCCTGATTAAAAGGGGGGAAATGCAGAACAGAATTTCAAATTTTCATGGACTCCAGATTTTCTGGAGTCATAGAGGGTGGATGAACCCCTGACACTATTACCCTGTGGTAATCTTAGACCTTAAACCAAAAATATCGCCTGAAGTCTTCTTAAGCCAAAACATAGTTTGACTCAACTAGTAAAAAATATCTACCTAGAGCATTGTGGTCTTTTAAGATCTATCTATATGGGATCAAATTGACAACAGCAACTTGAAACATTAGGTAGGAAACTCGGGGGCAGTGTGTTTATGTTAATGGAGGAGGAACAACTCAGGAAAGGAGGGTGAGAATGGTTGCACAACTCAAAGAATATAATCAGTGTCACTGAATTGTATATATAGAAATTGTTGAATTAGTGTGTGTTCTGCTGTTTATATTCTCAACAACAACAACAAAAATATTTAAAAATGTCTATAATAATGTGTTTAAGTTAGGATTAATTTTGGCTCTGAGAGATGAAAATAAATACAGAATAACATTGGCTTAAAGAAGACAGAAAATTATTTCTCTTATAAAAATCTAGAGGTAGGCATGGTGCTTGAGATTATCAGGAACAAAGCTCTTTCTCTCCTGTTGCTCTGACATGTTTAGCCTCGATTCACAAGCCATAGCCGCCATGCCCATGTTCCAGCCAGCAGGGAGGAAGAAAGGGAAAGAAAAAAGCATATTCCTCTCTTTAAGAATAATTCTCAGAAGTTGCATGTACCATTCCGCTTACATCCTGTTGGCCAGAATTTAGTCACATCCTCACACCAGCTAGGTTGCCAGGGATACTGGGAAATAGTCTTTATTCTGGTAACTATATACCCAGCTAAAGTCAGAGTTCTATTTTAAAGGAAAAGGAAAATGAATAGTATTGCTGACAGCTGGTAGTCTCTGTCACAATTGGAGACGAGAAACATATTTTAGAGCATAATTAGTCACTTCTCTTTTTCTATTTATTGCTTTCTCTTATTATTATATTGTACTCTGGGCAACACTTCAAAATTGTGTCCCCTTTTTGCTGTTGCTAAAAGAATGTTCCAGAAACACAGCTATGTTATCATGTGAGTCTCCTAATCAAAAACTTTCATTAATTATCATTGTCCTTAGAATAACATTGAAACTCATAATCTGTTCTCAAATAACCTCTTGGACACTATTTTCCACCTCTTTTCCTTATAAATCCTGTAATCAGGCTAACCATATTGTTGCTCTGTTTTTTAGATTCTTAGTTGCTTTGCTGACTTATTCTTTTGTTATATAGTCACCTTTGCCTGAAATACCTTTCCCTTTCCATTTCAGTGTATATCCCATCTTAGCTATCTTCTAACGCCTAAATCAGTTGCGACTTAGTCCAGAGTTATTCCATGATCCTCTATCTGAATGTAGTTTCTCCTAGTTTAAGTGCTTCTACCTCTTTATCAGTCTCTCTCTATGGTGTTTTTCTTTACTTTGTATTGCATCTATTTATGTACATGTTTTTGGCACTGATTTAGATCATCAGTTTTCTAAACACAATTCTAAACAATTTCTGATTGACCTTTTATTTTGTTTTCAATGTCAGTAACAATGCCTTTCACGTAGCCAATGTTTTAAACTTATTTTTTGTCAGCTTCCTATCTGTACACTGTATTAATTGCCCTCTGTAGGTTGCAGTGCTGCTAAAGAGCACTCAGCTGAAGTACAAGACAGAAAGATTGAAAACCTGCCCGACATTAAAGCTATTAAACAGAAAGAGGAGATCTGTAGTAAGAGGACAGTTCCTAAAACAGCCTTGACAAAAGAAACAGAATCCTTGCAGATGGATACTGCAGGTAATGGGATTGATGTGTGTGTTTCCATTTCATTCTGATGTGAATATGGCCTCACGGTTTAAGCAAAGATACCCCCCCACCCCCTTTTTTTTTTTTTTTACTTTCTTGTACAAATTACTTCAGTGGTACTTTGTCTATGTGGCTTTATGTATTGATTTGTAAAGTAACTTTTACTCCTGGAAAAAGATATTGGCATTATGGAAATGGGTTACAAATAAATAGTATCAGAAGCTTCATGTCTAATATCATAACAGGACAAAACCTGACGCCTAAAGTCATTCCAGAAGACTGACAAAGACAGTGGAGAACCTCAATACAAGACTTTTTAAAATTACAGTAAAAAAGAGCCAAGATTAAATCTATGTTTGTCCATGGCCCCCTTTTTCAGACATGAAAAAAGTATATAAAACACAAGCCGTTAATACCTAGCTGTCAAGCTTTACCTCTGAGAGGAAGATAGAACAGAACCCAGATAAGGAGAGAAAGGAGGCAAGGAGCTAATCTGCCCATACTATATTTTAAAAGTAGTCCATCTACATCTGCTCACATCAAGAATGTATAAGATGAAAAACAGGACATTGTAGCTCTACAATGGCCAGGAAGGGGGTGGGGGAACAGCACAACTTGCAAAAGAAAGAAGGAAATACAATCGGTAATAGCATACTCCAGAAGATGAGAAGTTTTTTCGTAAGTGTTTTACACTCTGAATAAAAGACATGAAATTAGAGTTGAGATAAGAATATGATGAAAAGGGAGACTGAAGGGATAGGAGAACAAATTAAAGGGAAAAAATTGTACCAATCCAGAGAAAAGAGACATAAAATCAAGTAGAAAAAATAATGGAATTTGAGAAATGGCTGTAAAATTCCAACAAAATGATGTGTGTTAGTATCTCTAAAGAAGATAAAATAAAAATAATAAAAGATATAAGGAAGAACTGAACCTGCAATTTAAAAGAACATACCAAAGCCTACGGGAAATTTATAGTGTAATGATCAATACTGAGACATATGTTGCTGATAGTTGCCAGCGGGTTCTGTGTCCATGGATTCAACCAACCGTGGATCAAAAATACTTGGGAAAAAAAAAAAAAGTTCTAAAAAGCAAAACTTGTGTTTGCCACATGCCGAGAGCACTCCACTGAATGCACGTGAATGAAGTGATGTGGAGGCATCCCCTGCTGTAGCCTCCCACCATTTCACACATCCTCAGTCTCTCTCCAGCAGTCATCGTTTGAGCATTGTTTGCCTCGTGTCTCATTCGTTTGCTCCTTGTGTTGTGTGCACCCTTTGTTTCTGTGAAAAAATGGCTGCTAAAAAGCAGTGAAGTGGTCATAGCAATCCTTCAAAGCTAAGTGTGAAGTGGTTTAGGAGAGCGAGAGGAACGAGTTTAAGGCCAGTAAGGGATGGCTGGCTAGCTCTGGAAAGCACTACAGCCTCCAGAACTTCAAGACCACAGTCGAATACTCATCGCTGATATCCAGGCTGCATCGCTGTTCCAAGAAGAACTCAAGAAACTCATAGAAGAGAAAGGCTACCTTCCAGAGCAACTCTTTAGTTGTCATAAAACAACTATATAGCATTTACCATGTATTAGATATTATAAGTAATCTAGAGATTTAAAGTATACAGGAGGATTGCATAGGTTACAAGCAAATACTACGCCATTTTGTATAAGAGACTTGAGCATCCTCGGATTTTGGTATCCACGTGGGGGTCTTGGAACCAGTCCCCCCCCCCCCGCCCCACAAAGAAAAAGATAAGTCCTACAAAGCATCCATGCAGAAAAAGCAAAAAAAAAGAAGAAGAAGGGAGCAGGCAAGGTAGAGGGAGATTAAAGAAAGTATAAGTGAGCTAATTTATCTTTAAAGGAATAGATGTGTAAGTACATTGTTTTTACGTCGTTAGGTGCCACAGAGATGGTTCCAACTCATAACAACCCTATGTATAACAGAACGAAACACTGACCAGTCCCGCGCCATCCTCACAATCGTTGTTATGCTTGAGCCTGTTGTTGCAGCCACTGTGTCAGTCCATCTTGTTGAGGATCTTCCTCTTTTTCACTGATCTCTACTCTACCAAGCGTGGTGTCCCTCTCTAGGGACTGATCCCTCCTGATGACATGTCCAAAGTACGTGAGACAGAGTCTCGCCATCCTTGCTTTTAAGGAGCATTCTGGCTGTACTTCTTCCAAGACAGATTTGTTCATTCTTCTGGCAGTCCATGGTATATTTGGTATTCTTCACCAGCACCATAATTCAAAGGCATCAATTCTTCTTCTTCGATCTTCTTTATTCATTGCCTAGCTTTCACATGCCTATGAGGCGATTGAAAATATCATGGCTTGGATCAGGCACATCTTAGTCCTTGAGGTGACATCTTTACATTTTAACACTTTAAAGAGGTCTTTTGCAGCAGATTTGCCCAGTGCAATGCGTCCTTTGATTTCTTGACTGCTGCTTCCATGGGCGTTGATTGTGGATCCAAGTAAAATGAAATCCTCGAGAATTTCAATCTTTTCTCCATTTATCATCATGTTGCTTACTGGTCCGGTTGTGAGGGTTTTTGTTTTCTTTATGTTGAAGTGTAATCCATAGTGAAGGCTGTAGTCTTTGATCTTCATCAGTAAGTACTTCAAGTCCTCTTCATTTTCAGCAAGTAAAGTTGTGTCATCTGCATATCGAGGGTTGTTAATGAGACTTCCTCCAATCCTGATGCCACATTCTTCATCATATAGTCCAGTTTCTCGGATTATTTGCTTAGCATACGGATTGAATAAGTATGGTAAAAGGATACAACCCTGACACATACCGTTCCTGACTTTAAACCAGGCAGTATCCCTTGTTCTGTTCTGACAACTGCCTCTTGGTTTATGTACGGGTTCCTGGTGAACATAACTAAGTGTTCTTGTATTCCCATTTTTCACGGTGTTATCCATAAGTTGTTATGATCCACACAGTCAGATGCCTTTGCATAGTCAATAAAACACAGGTAAATATCTTTCTGGTATTCTCTGCTTTCAGCCAAGATCATCTGACATCAGCAGTGATATCCCTCGTTCTATGTCCTCTTCTGAATCTGGCTTGAATTTCTGGCAGTTCCCTGCCAATATACTCTTGCAACTACTTTTGAGTGATCTTCAGAACAATTTTTACTTGTGTGAATACTGTATGACATGGGTATTTCGATGCGACATGTTCAATAATTTCCCCATTCTGTTGGATCACCTTTCTTTGGAATGGGTACAAATGTGGATCTGAGGTTCCCTTTATCATGTTAAGGTAGTTTCCATCTATTCCCAGTTTCTTGAGTGTTTTTATTATGAAAGGGTGTTAGATTTTGTCAAATACTTTCCTGCATCTATTGAGATGGTCATGTGATTTTTGGTTTTTATTTTGTTGGTATGAGGTATTACATTAAATGATTTTTGAGTGTTGAACCAACCTTACGTTCCTGGGATAAATTCCACTTGATCACGGTGTATAATCCTTTTCATATGCTGCTGGATTCAGTTTGCTAGTATCTTATTGAGGACTTTTGCATCCGTCTTCATCAGAGGTGGTTGTTGTGTGCCATGGCTTCGATTCTGATTCATAGTGATTCAGAATTTGTTTATATTCCCTTATAATCCTTTTTGTTTCTGTCAGATCAGTAGTAATGTTTCCTCTTTCATTTCTGATTCTAATAATTTGAGTCTTTCTTTTTTTTTCTTGGTCAGCCTAGCTAAAGGTTTGTCATTTTTGTTGACTTTTTTCAAAATAACAACTTTTGGCTTTATTGATTTTTCTTTATTGCTTTTATATTCTTTATTTCATTAATTTCCATTCTGATCTTTATTATTTCCTTCTTTCTGCTTGCTTTAGGTTCAGCTTGCCCATTTCACACACTCTTAAGTTGGAAGATTAGGTTACTGATTTGAGATCTTTCTTCTTTGTTACAGCAATAAATTCTCTAAGCTCTGTTTTGTCTGCATCCCATAAGTTTTGGTATTGTGCCTTCATTTTCACTCATCTCAAAGTATTTTGTGATTTCCTCTTTTACCCATTGGCTATTTAAACTGTTGCCGTCGAGTTGCTTCCCACTCATAGCGACTCTATGGGACAGAGTAGTACAGCCACATAGAGTTTCTAAGGATCGGCTGGTAGATTTGAACTGCTGACCTTTTGGTTAGCAGCTGAGCTCTTAACCACTTCACCATCAGGGCTCCTTAGGCTACATAGGAGTGTGTTATTTAATTTCAACATATTTATAAGTTTTCCAAATTTTTTTTTTCTGCTATTGATTTCTAATTTCATTCTGTTGTTGTTGGAGAACATACTTTGTATGATTTCAGTCTGTTTAAATTTGTAGAAGTTTGTTATATGGCCTAGCATATATGGTCTGTCCTAGAGAACGTTCTGTGTGTTGAAAAGAATTTATATTTTGTTGTTGCTGAGTGAAGATAAACACAATAACCCAGAACGTAGAATAAAATGACCAAGAGACAAGAAAAATAAGAGAAAAAATAAAACAGAACCATTTCAGGAGATCCAGCATTTTTCTACTAGTATCTGAAAGAGAAAATAAAGGAGAAGAGAGGAAATTATTAAAGAAATAATACCAGATAATTTTCTGATGCTGAAAAGAGATGTGAATCTTCAAATTGAAAGAGCCTGTGCGCTTGGCTGCTAACAAAAAGGTCAGCGATTCGAACCCACCCACAGAAGTAAGATGTGGCAGCCTGCTTCCGTAAAGATCAATGGCCTTGGAAACCCTATGGGGCAGTTCCACTCTGTCCTACAGGGTTGTTAAGAGTCGGAATCAACTTGACGACAGTGGTTATGGGTACTGAATGCTCAGCCGAATAAATTGGGAGGTGGGGAGTTCACATTATTGTGGATAAAAGATCTTCCAACAGGAAAACACATATCATTTATAAGGAAATTTTCATCAGGCTTCTCATCAGCAACAGTAGATGCTAGAAAGAGTACAGCAAGATCTTTAAATTTCTGAGCAATGATTTTGAAGCTATACCCAGTGAAATATGCAATACAAATAAGTATGAGGACAAAATAGTCGTTCTAGGAAATGTGCACTGTGTCATTGGAAATATATCATTTGTGGAAATAAGCTCTGGTAAATGAAGGTGAAAATCAAAAAAGAAACGTAGAATCCAGAAATAGTGGATCTAACCAAAGGAGAGTAGGGAAGGCAAACTCAGTATGACAGCTCCACAGCAGGTTAGGGTGCAGTGTGTTCAGACTGGAGCAGAAGGATAGAGGGCTACAGAAACAAAACAAGGATTTCTTCCACATGCCTAGTGTGGCTGAGACTTGAAAAAATTGAAGATATGATAAAAGTAAATCACACAAGAAATAAAGAGGCAGCTGGAAGCTCAAAAAAAAAAAGGTTAAAATATGAAGCAACTGATACAAATTATTGCAGGATGTTAGTAGGCTTTAAGGAGAATAGCTTGAAAGCTATTAGAAATTGTCCAGTAAAGAAGGAGAGGCTGAAGGTGTAAGAGAGAGATGATCGGGAAAGGAACCAAGACCTTGAAAGGAAGATAATCTGGACTCCAGAGCACCAGTGGAGACTCTCCTTTAAAGGAAGGAGGAGGGGCAGTTCTGCCCCTGTATCTGGAAAGGGAGTAGGTGCAGGTGGATTGGCAGAGGCGGTGGTAGCGTTGCCTCGGTGCCTTCACACGTGGTGATCCCTCTTCCCTGAATGTTCTTCACATGCCATTTTTCTGATTTAGCTCTCATTTTTACTTCACATTTCAGCTGCTTTTCTCTAACTACTGTTCTCACAGAATTTTGGTTTTGCCCTTCATAGCCCCTGAATACAATTTGTAATTACAGGTTTGTTTATTTATTTAATGCAGTAGCTGCCATCTCAGATACCTGTAAATCTGCACAAAACCTTCCAATTCTTAAATGTTGCTAGATAATTATAAAATTGTATAGAGTCTTGTATACTTTGGGGAACAGAGCAAGCCGATCCTATGTATTCCACTGTACTCTGAAGCAATTACCATAGAAAGTCTCAGAGGATTGAATGAAAACTCTGGTTACCAGTAATCTACAGTGTTTGGTGAAAAGGATTACATAGGTACAAGTGACATTTTATTGCATGTATATGTCATGTGTTTCTGCACATGATTTGAAACTCCAAAAAAGTATATTGATCCCATATTAGAGTCTACAGTTAGATGATTGTAAGATGTTACTACATCTAAACATGCCCATTTTGATGTAGAGTAATGACTGTCCAAAAATGAAGATGGTTCGTAGAAAAGGAATTTTAAAAGGCTCTTAAACATATAAAGAATTTTTTGCTTTTTAATTCCATCCACTTAATTGCTGCCAATGGTCTGCAGTTTCTTAGCTGCAAATGCAGTTGACAGTAACTATTCCTCAATTTCACAAGGATTAAATTAAAAAAAATAAAAAAAAAACAAATATAGAGCATATGTCACCCACACAGCAGACTGTGACTACAGAGTAGCTGCTGTTATGAATTCAGGTGCCTTCTTTGAGGTCACAAAGCCAGTCAGGGGCAGAGTCCAGTCCAGAATCCAGGTCTTTTGACCCAGAATCCCTTAAACTTTTACCATGCTTTCTAGCTGTCAAGCACAGGCATGAAACATTTGTGCACACCATGAGTTTTCTGAAAGTGTGTATAAGCTATTCTTTCCTTCAGCCTTTGTTCTGTACCTAAAGAACTAAGTGTTAATCGACTTTCTAAAGGGAATGCAAACATGTTTGAAAGATTTTAAAACATCTTTTTTTCTCCTTTTAGAATCCAGATGTCATTCAGAATTTGAAAATACTACCCATTCTGTCTTCCGGTCAGCCCAGTTTTACTTTCATCATCCCGTCCACCTACCAAACGATCAAGATTTTTGCCATGAATCCTTGGGAAGGGGTGTTTTCATGAGGCATTCTTGGAAAGATGTCTTTCAGCGTCACCCAGACAAACATAAAGAGCTCTCTTGTCTTTCTCCTCATTGTCAAACTGTGGACAAGACTAAGATGGATTATACCAGAATAGAGAGCCTCCGTATTGATGTGAATTTGGGTAATAAAGAAATGATGCATACAACTAAAAGTCAGGCTAGAGATCATCTAAAATATAACAGACAAATTAATGACCTAAAAAGGGATCATAAGGTCACCCCAGAGCCAACAACTCAGGGCACTGTGAGTTTGAATGAACTCTGGAACAGGTATCAGGAGCGACAGAGGCAACAGAAACCTCCCGAGTTTGGTGACAGGAAGGAACTATCCTTGGTGGAGCGACTTGATCGTTTGGCTAAACTTCTTCAGAATCCCATCACACATTCTCTCCAGGCCTCAGAAAGTACATATGATGGTAGCAGAGAGGAACGAGATGTTAAGGAGTGGAGTAGTAGTAGACAGCAGCAACAGAAAAGCAAACTTCAGGAAAAAAAGAGGTATAAAGGCCTAGAGAAATGCCGCAAAAACGTAGGGGATCTTAAAAAAAGCAACATACTTTCTACTCATCAAGCTGAGGGGCCCAATCAGATTAAATTTGAACATATTAAATTTAATAAATACATTCTAAGAAAACAGCCAGGCTTTAATTATATAAGTAACACTTCTTCAGATTCTCGACCCTCAGAGGAGAGTGAGCTGTTCACAGATACTACCACCAACATCTTTTCCACCACCACTTCTCCTGTGGAATCAGAGTATTTGACCCAAACAGATAAAGAGGTGGCCATGCACGAGAGGAGCAGCTCCATTTCCACCATTGACACTGCCCGACTGATTCAAGCTTTCGGCCATGAAAGAGTATGTTTGTCACCCAGGCAAGTTAAATTATATAGCACTATCACCAACCAACAAAGGAGATGCCTTGAGAAGCGGTGCAAGCAGAGCAAGAAAGCAGTGAACACAGGTCATTTCCATGTGACTGCTGAGTACACCGGAAGGAAAAACATCCAGGTACATGGCTACAAATTCCATCTGGCAGTGTGACGGCCTTTTTCATGGACTTTTTAGTTAAGCTTTGCACACAGGTGAAAAAAAGCCAATTGCCCTTTCCTCACTATAACATTTCTTACCAACTGGAAAAGAGTGAGAAAGTGTAGTACAGTGCTATTGTGAGTTGTCATTCTTTTCATCAACACCCACTTTCGAATTACCCTTTGGATGAAGGGCTTTGCTGCTAGATGCTTCAGAATTTGCACAGTATAGCTCTGGCACAGGGGAGCTTCAAGTTTAGAATGACCTCCGTTCTGCACTATTTATTGCTTTGTTTGTTTGTATGTTTGTTTATTCATTTCTCCTTGTCTTTCAGGAGATATTTGAAGTACTTTTAAAACACATATATACACACACATACATATATAAGTAATACAATATGATTTTTAAAAAAGTAGATGAAGAACTGGGAATAATAGAAAATTCAAATGAAGCCATGAGTGAGCTACAACACAATTCAAAAAATAAATGAAGAATTGTGAGTGATGGAAAAACGAAACCAAAGGGGAGATAAATATGCCTTGTGGGTATGCTTGCTAGACATGAGCCACGAATTTGGCTTTGTGTTTTCTAGCAGTTCGTGTTGCTAGAATTTTGTGATCAGTTACATAAGGTTGGTGGTTTGAACCTACCCAGTGGCTCCACAGGAGAAAGACCTGGCAATCTGCTCCCATAAAGAGTACAGCCTAGAAAACTCTGTGGTGCAGTTCTACTTGGTCACACCAGGTTGCCGTGAGTTGAAATTGACTCTGTGGCACCTAACAACATAACCGTGCATGAGTTGGCAATATAAAAACAAAATAAATTTTCGAAAACATTACTGATATTTCTGGTACTAAAACCTAAGAGAAGTTTCTCTTATCTGTCCCCATAAAGAAGGCATTGAAGCGTAACAAAGAGTCCTCAACAGTAGCCTTACAGTAGGTTCATTAACAACCCCCATGAGGCTATTCTGACATTCCTTAGCTTCAGGAGTTCAGAAAAGGCAGTACTTGGGGGGTCAGCACATGCAGACAATTGCCTTAACCCAAGGAGGTGCTCTCCAAAGAGCGATGGTTGCAAAATGATCCATTGGAGGGTTGAAAGAAAAATATTAGAATTTCGTTTTTCTCAACCTTTTAAAATTTATATTTTAGTGTATGTTTTATATGAGTACAGTAGTAACTTATAAATAAATATCTATTTTGACAGTTCCTGCTAAAAACAAATTTTGTCAGTAGGATTGCAGAGTCAAAAAAATTTGGAGACAGCTTGTCTAGAGGAAAGGAATGAGATGTTTAAACAATTTACCATAAGTACTATTTCTCCTAGTTGAGGTTTTGATGAGTATTAAATGACAGTGGCAAGTGCCTGGAATGCAAAATGTCTGTCCAGTAGAGCTGGGAGTAGGGTTGATATCTTATTTTGAAATTGAGGGTCCTTGACAAGACAGATGCTTATATAGAAGGCCACTCCACCCCTATCCACAGATGGCCCGGAAAGCATACAAGTAAGTGTAGAATCAGGATTTTCTTCTGAAAGTAATGTATTTAAAGTTCAGCCACTATTAGTTTGTCCCTAGCTCAGGAAAACACCCAAGTAACATCTAATTTTGTGCAGTTTAACTTCCTGATGAATTCTGCAATATAAATTAATTGCACTTAATGAATTACTTTGCTGTTTAGGATTATTAGTTGTAAAACAGTTGAAGTTTTAAAATACCTACCTAAATTAATTAGGTTTTAAAAATAGTCCTTTTTTAGTTAGTAACTGGGTAGGAGAGCCAGTTATCCATAAACCAAAACCAAACCCGTTGCTGTCAAGTCGATTCCTGGTGGCACAGTGGTTAACAGCTCGACTGCTAACCAAAAGGTCAGCAGTTTGAATCCACCAGCTGCTCCTTGGAAACTACGGGGCAGTTCTGCTCTGTCCTATAGGGTCACCGTGAGTTGTCTATAAAGGTCACTGCTAATTCTTGATAATAAAATATTTATAATTCTACTCTATAGCTAGGAATGGGAAATAGGGTGGTTAGGTAAATTTGTGGAGGGCATGTATTCCGCTTCCCCTAAAAGTATCAAGTGATTGGGGCATAAGGTAAAAAAAGAAAAACACACATCCAGGTTTTCCTCAGTGGAAATATCGTCTGATTTATTGGGAAACAAGATACTGAGTTCTGCAGTAGTAGTAAAAATGGGTTCTTTGTAAGCAGCAAGTTGTCAAGGACCAGTCTGCATTCTTCCCTAATGTGGTCTTATTCAAATATGAAAATGACATTGTCATCATCTTGTAGTAAAATTTGGAAGTGGTGTGTTTCTAAGCACAAAAGCATTTAACCCATACCATCCGGCATCCAGGAGGCTTTTCTTAAGAAATATTGGAAAAAAAAAAAAAATGAGTAAAGAGGAAAATAGAGATAAACCTATAGAACTAGTAAAAGATTAGTAGAATGAGTTTTAAATAGTACAGGTAGTTATATAGTGGTGGGAAGAGGGACTTGATGCGAAGAGCTGATACAGGTTATTTCAAGAGCTTTGGGAGTTCAGAACCCAATTTAAATAAATACTGAGTTGATGAGAAAATAAGCAAAACAGAGTTGTTTTATTCACTCAGCACACATTTATTGAGTATTTCCTATGTGCAAGGCACTCTGCTGTATACTAGAGACATGAATGGTTCCCACTCTCAAGAAATCCCCAATCTAGCTGGGGAGACAGATACCTTAGGATAAGGGTTATAATGAAGGTATGAACAAAGTCCTGTGGGAACACGGTGAGGAAGCTATGATTGGTTCTTTTTAGGTTGGAGATTGAGGAAGGATTCATAAATGTTTATGTTTGAATGTAGGTATAAAAGAGTAAGAACTGTGAAAACATGGGAAGCTGATATTCTAGACTAAAGGAACAGTGTAAACAAAGGCACAGAAATGCATAGTGTCTTCAGGGTCCAGTGAGAAGTGTGACACAGCCAAAGTACCTGTCTTACCTCGTGCCCACCCTCTTTTAAGACTAACACTCTACTTGTGTTGTTTTGTTTCCCAATTCCAAAATGAATCACACACCTTGCAAAATACTGATGCAGTTTTTTTTAAGTAGCAAGGGAAGTCCTAATATTTAGTAATCATATAAATTTGTCATCTAAATTGGGATACTTGAGAGTGAAAGGAGTTGCAGGTGAAAGTTATGACAGGATAAAGACATAAACTAAAAGTATCCCAGGCACACCAGGATGGATGATCATCCTAAATTCTGCTGTCTGAAAATAACCATTATAGGTCTTTTCATTTTTTATATCAATGCAACCCTATAATTACTGTTACACTTATCAAAATGGGATCATATTATTCTACAACTTGCTCTTTTTATTTAACATTTTATTTTGACTGCCTTTCCATTATCTTGCCTATACATGTACCTCATTTTTTTTCACTGCTACAAAGTGTTCCATTGAATGGGTATCTCATGAATTACTTAACCAGTTCTCAATGGATTAAAAAATATTGTAATTTTTGTTATAAATACTTCAGTGAACAACTAGTTGAGATATAGTTACATGCCACATAATTTACCCATTTGAAGTATACAATTAAATGATTTTTAGTATATTCACAGAGTTGTGCAACTGTCACCACAATTTTGGAACATTTTCATAATGCCAAAAAGAAACCCTGTAGCCATTAGCAATCACTCCTCATTTTCCCCTAACCCTCCAAGCTCTAGGGAACCCTCAGTTTACTGTCTGCCTCTGGATTGCCTATTCTGGACGTTTGTTACAAGTGGAATCATACATTGTAGTCTTTTGTCACTGGCTTCTTTCACTTAGCATAATGTTTTCAAGGTTCACCCCTATTGTAGCAGGTGTCAGTGTTTCACTCCTTTTTATGGCTCACTAATATTCCATTGTACGGATAGACCACGGTTTACCGATTCATTAGTTTTACACTTGAGTTTCCATTTTTTGGCTACCGTGGATAGTGCTGTGAACATTCGAGTACAAATTTTTGTATAGACGTATGTTTTCATTTCTCTTAGGTAAATACCTAGGAGTGGAATTGTTGAGTCATATGGTAGCTCTGCATTTAACATTTTCTCAGGTCAATATTGATAAATTATATTTTCCTAGAAAATTATACATTTTATCCAGGTTTTAAACTGCTAACGTATAGTTTGCAAAACAATTTTTTAAATCCTTTTGAATTTATTTCTGTATGTCTAGTTTCTCATTGATTCCTGATTTCATGTATTTCTACTTGTGCTGCTGCCACACTGTCACCAGATAAACCATCTGATGTTTGACCTCTCATTTTTTTTAATAACCGCTCTTAGATGTATTATTTGTATTAATATTTTATTTTCTAATTCATTAACACCTGGTTCCTCTTTCTTTGGTTATTATATTCTTGAGTTGAATGCATGAATCATTTACTTCATATTTTGTAACTTAGTAACAAAAGCTGTGAATTTTCCTGTGAGTACAGCTATATCCACTAAATGTTTTCTGTTCTTTTTTCTGCCTTCTCATGGGTTAATTCAACAGTATTTATCATTTTGTTTTTTCTCCTGTGTTGGTTTATTATGTATACCTTTTGCATGTTTTTAGTCATTATTCTGGGGTTTACAAATACCTTTATTTATACATGTTTAATTAGAGTATACTTTAAAATTATATACCACTTTACTTGTAGCGTAAGGACTCTACAACAGTATATTCCCAATTTCTCCCTCCCATTCTTTATTCTATTTTTGTCATACATTTTACTTATGTTGTAAAAATACAATATATTGCTACTCTTTTTGTTTTAGATAGTTATCTTTTATAGCAATTAAAACATAAGGGGGGGAAAATGAATTTTGCTTTATCTGCATATATGCCTATATCCAGTGCTCTGCATTTCTTTGCGTAGATTCATATTTCCTTTAATTTCTTTTAGATCAGGTTGGCTGCAATAATATATATTTTTTCTTTTAGCACTTTAAAAATGT